TTATGGCTAAAGAACTTTGCATTTAATATTAGTATTCCACCAAGGACCTTTTAATAGCTCAGAAAGTTACTTTCCTCTCAGCTGCCATAGTTCTTGCCTTCTACTTGGCCCTGTCCTAAGCACTTTAAATAACTAACTCATGGCTAGGCACAGTGGCTCATGCCTGTAATAGCAGCAATTTGGGAGGCGGAAGCGGGTGGACTGCCTGACCTCAGGAGTTCACGTCCAGCCTGGCCAACTTGGTGAAACCCCATTTCTACGAAAATACAAAAAATTAGCAGGTGTGGCGGTGTGCGCCTGTAGTCCCAGCTACTTTGGAGGCTGAGGCAGAAGAATTGCTTGAACCTGGGAGGTGGAAATGCAGTGGGCCAATATGCCACTGCACTCCAGCCTGGGCGACGGAGTAAGACTCCATCTCAAAAAAAAAAAAAAAAAAAAAAAAGAAAGTTGACTCGTTTAATTCTTACAATAATTCAGTGATATAAGTGCTATTTGTATTATTGTTGTACAGAACAGGTTGCTTACAACAGAGAGTATGTAGGTACTTCTGCAAGACCACACAGCCACTTAGTTACAGAGGTAGGTTTTCTACCCAGGCAATCTGGCACCAAAGACAGTATTTTTAACTTTTATACTGCTTCTCCAGACAAAGAATTTAGTATGAGTTTAAATAACATAAGACCTTTCTTTACCTGTCTAGTCTCTTTATACTTGATAATTATGTGGTTACTCTAAGGTGAATGTTTTTCCAATTCCCTCACATTTCCCTTCTCTTTATCATTATAATTTCATCAATATAATTTCTCTATCAATATAATTTCTTTTTTATCAATATAATTTTGATTTTTTATTAAAACTTTAACCAATTCTCAAAACTATATTTTAAAAATTGGTTATAATTTAAAAAATACATTGTTACATTTATTTGTTGTAAGCAGAGTGTTCCATTTCTAATCCAAATGGGATCACCTTATTGAGGAAGGGAAGTTGCTCTATAGAGTTTATAGGATGTGAAAGAAGACAGGGCCAGGTGAGTGATGGCCAGTGAGGGATAGAAAGTCGTTGCCAAAGCACAAAGCCCATCTGGTCCAGGAGGAGATGAGCCCCTGTGGCGTTATTGGGAAAATCCCTTCGAAAGCCTGTGG